AGGCATGTAGACATGGTCAAGTCGAACTGCTGCAGTTCAAACTGAGCATCAGAATGGGGAAGAAAGGGGATTTAAGTGACTTTGAATGTGGCATGGTGGTTGGTGCCAGACGGGCTGCTCTGAGTATTTCAGAAACTGCTGATCTACTGGGATTTTCACGCACAACCATCTCTAGGGTTTACAAAGAATGGTCTGACAAAGAGGAAATATCCAGTGAGCGGCAGTTCTGTGGGTGCAAATGCCTTGTTGATGCCAGAGGAGAATGGCCAGACTGGTTCCATCTGATAGAAAGGCAACAGTAACTCAAATAAGTACTTGTTACAACCAAGCAGGCCCGGATTGGCTAATCGGGAGGACCGGGAGAATTCCCGGTGGGCCAGTCCGTTTTTTGGCCGCGAGGGCCGGTCTCCCTAGCTCCAGAATCGGTTGCTCTCAGCAGTCACACTTTTTAAATTAATGTATTTATTTACTTGACCACAGTCTTCATATTCAATATTTTCCCGCAGCTCTGTTCTGTTTATCTATTTTCTCGCAGCCTCGTGATGAAGATGCAGCCTGCAAATTAGTTATCTCATTATTGTTGTGGTCAAGTGGTTAGCACGTTAGGTTTTGACACCAGCAATCCGGGTTTGATCCTCATCTGAGTAATTTTTTTTTTTCATTTTTATTGTTAAGACATATAATACTGTTAGGGTTGTTGAACATTTGAAGTTTTAAAGCAACTGTTTTCTCAAAAAAAGATGTGATGATAGTGTCATTAGAAACTGAATTGGAAATGACCTTATTTCAACATAGTCAGTCGTGAACTGAGGTGGGCCGGTCTGAGGCTTTAAACTCCAGGGCTGAAAAGGAGTCCCACTCCGGCCCTGCAACGAAGGTCTGCAGAAGAGCATCTCTGAACACACAACACGTCCAACCTTGAGGCGGATGGGCTACAGCAGCAGAAGACCACACCGGGTGCCGCTCCTGTCAGCTAAGAACAGGAAACTGAGGCTACAATTCACACAGACTCACCAAAACTGGACAATAGAAGATTGGAGAAACGTTGCCTGCTCTGATGAGTCTCCATTTCTGCTGCCACATTCAGATGGTCGGGTCAGAATTTAGCATCAACAACATGAAAGCATGGATCCATCCTGCCTTGTATCAACAGTTCAGGCTGGTGCTGGTGGTGTAATGGTGTGGGGGAGATTTTTTTGGCACACTTTGGGTCCATTTTTATGTTAATCATTACTAAAACTTTTTTGTTTGTTTTATTTTTAAAAACTTGTATGAAGAAATGTATGCATTAGCAGCTTTACACCTGTAAAAAAAATAGAATCTATAAACATCCAAAGGGGTTGTTCAAGAGGTCAGTGGGTTCAGACCCTCCCAGCCAACAATTCTCAAACCCCATTGCTATTACACGCCCTGACACATTCATTTGTGCCATGCATCTCTCCTCGGGTAAAACGGAGCACGTTCATCCCCGTGTGATGACGTATGCAGCACGCTGTCCTCAGTAAACTCTCCTCTCCGTCAAACCCGCGCACAAGTAAACTCTGAACTGAAGTTGCAAGATCTACTCGCGATGCTCTCCGCCGACAAACCCAGAGGAAATTTCACCGCAGAATAGACAGTCTGGAGGGTTGTTTGCGATCTGCCGCGGAATAAATCTTCAGGAGCTGCTGGTGATGTGGGCTGTGTGCGCGCTCGTACTGCTGTGCGTCCCCGCGAATGTGCGCGCGCTCAACTGCAGCCTGGTGAAAGACGCGTACAGCGCGCTGGGCTTCAGTTCTGATGATGTGCCCGCGGAGCAGACCTCAGGTACTTTATAACACACAGACAGGCTTTAATGATCAAATTATACTTGATTAATTACTTATAGTAGGTTATGTGCACTAGAAAAGAATGTAGAGTTATTTTAAACACTAAAGAAATCTCCTCAGACCTCAGGTATACCCGCGCACTTTAACACACCGCGTTCCCTGGTGATAAAATAGGCTACTTGTCAAGTACTCTTTAAAAAAGCTGGCTAAATTCAACCTAATTTTTGGCTCAATGTGTGAAAAATGACCACAAAAGTGCCAATTAAAATGTATACACATCTATATTTATACATAAGCTTTATAAATGAGCTTTCCATTGGATGTTTTGGTTGACAGTATTTTTGATATTTAAATATATAGGTTTTCTAGAGGTATATTAGAGTATTTCTAAATGACGAAACAACTTCTATGACTTTTTAACAGTGCTTATTATAGGTTGTGTGCCATATAATAAAACACTTTATTCAGGGTGCGAATTACAGGGGGGTTTGGGGGGGGTTAACCACTCTTAATAACACTTGATTTCTTATTAAAGACGACAAATCAAGATGTATAAGGGGGTCAGTCTTTTAATACCGAAGAATTATTTACTCTGATTTGTATAATTAAAATAGCAGATAATATAAATATACATTTGACCATCATATAAAAGGTTCAAACTATTGTTAATGCATAAATCAGTCTGTTTTAAGTCTGAAATTGGCAGATTTAGAGCCTCAATCGTGTTACCGAAAAATAATTTACTCTGATTTGTATAATTAATATAGCAGATATACATTTGACCATCCCTATGAAAAGGTTCAACTGTTGTTAATGCATAATCATGCCAATCAGTTTATTCAAGTCTGAAATTGGCAGATTTAGAGCCCCGATCGTGTTCACAAGACTTTGCTTTCTTGTAAAATAGGTGTTTGTATCTACATAATTAGCCTAAAATGAAGTCAAATAAGATGCAGTATGTAGTTTGACCTACAGTAACATCTGTAATAGCTTATATTGTAAGTCAGAATACACTAAATATCCCTCAAAAGGCTGAAAACGTATATACATAAGCTTTAATAATGAACTAGACGTAACTAAAAATAAATTCATAAATGACTGAAGCATGTATTACACAAACTAACCAAAACAGTTGACCCTCCGCACACTTACTTTAATCCAGTTTTAGGTGAAATACGTGACCCTGGAAACCACTAAACTAAGAATAAATAAGCTTTCTATTGATGTATGATTTATATAGGACAATATTTGGATGAGAAATGTTTGAAAATCACTTTATATCACACCCGGACAGGCTTTAATGATAAATTTATGCTTAATACAATACTATTATGCACACTATAAAAGAATGTGGGGTTGTTTTAAACACTAAAGAAATCTCCTCAGACCTCAGGTATACCCGCGCGCTTTAACACACCGCATTCTCAGGTGATAAAACAGCCTACTTGTGGTACTCTTTAAAAAAGCTGGCTAAATTCAACCCAATTTTTGGCGTAATGTGTGACCAATGACCACAAAAGTGCCAATTAAAATGTATACACATCTATATTTATACATAAGCTTTATAAATGAGCTTTCCATTGGATGCATGGTTCGTTTTGGTTGACAGTATTATTAATATTTGAATATATATGTCTTCTGGAGGAATATTAGAGTATTTATAATTGACCAAGCAACTTCTATGACTTTTTAACAGTGCTTTTTATAGGTTGTGTGCCACATAATAAAACACTTTATTCAGGGTGCGAATTACAGGGGGGTTTGGGGGGATTAACCGCTCTTAATAACACTTGATTTCTTATTAAAGACGTCAAATCAAAATGTATAAGGGGGTCAGTCTTTTAATACCGAAAAATAATTTACTCTGATTTGTATAATTAATATAGCAGATATACATTTGACCATCCCTATGAAAAGGTTCAACTGTTGTTAATGCATAATCATGCCAATCAGTTTATTCAAGTCTGGAATTGGCAGATTTAGAGCCGTGATCGTGTTCACAAGACTTTGCTTTCTTGTAAAATAGGTGTTTGTATCTACATAATTAGCCTAAAATAAAGTCAAATAAGATGCAGTTTGACAGAAACATCTGAAATAGCTAATCAGAGTATATTGTAAGTCAGAATACACTAAATATCCCTCAAAACATACATAAGCTTTAATAATAAACTAGATGTAACTAAAAATAAACTCATAAATGACTGAAGCGTGTATTACACAAACTAACCAAAACAGTTGACCCTCCGCACACTTACTTTAATCCAGTTTTAGGTGAAATACGTGACCCTGGAGACCACAAAACTAAAAATAAATAAGCTTTCTATTGATGTATGATTTATATAGGACCATATTTGGATGAGAAATGTTTGAAAATCACTTTATATCACACCCGGACAGGCTTTAATGATAAATTTATGCTTAATACAATACTATTATGCACACTATAAAAGAATGTGGGGTTGTTTTAAACACTAAAGAAATCTCCTCAGACCTCAGGTATACCCGCGCGCTTTAACACACCGCATTCTCAGGTGATAAAACAGCCTACTTGTGGTACTCTTTAAAAAAGCTGGCTAAATTCAACCCAATTTTTGTCGTAATGTGTGACCAATGACCACAAAAGTGCCAATTAAAATGTATACACATCTACATTTATACATAAGCTTTATAAATGAGCTTTCCATTGGATGCATGGTTCGTTTTGGTTGACAGTATTATTAATATTTGAATATATATGTCTTCTGGAGGAATATTAGAGTATTTATAATTGACCAAACAACTTCTATGACTTTTTAACAGTGCTTTTTATAGGTTGTGTGCCATATAATAAAACACTTTATTCAGGGTGCGAATTACAGGGGGGTTTGGGGGGATTAACCGCTCTTAATAACACTTGATTTCTTATTAAAGACGTCAAATCAAGATGTATAAGGGGGTCAGTCCTTTAATACCGAAAAATAATTTACTCTGATTTGTATAATTAATATAGCAGATATACATTTGACCATCCCTATGAAAAGGTTCAACTGTTGTTAATGCATAATCATGCCAATCAGTTTATTCAAGTCTGAAATTGGCAGATTTAGAGCCGTGAGCGTGTTCACAAGACTTTGCTTTCTTGTAAAATAGGTGTTTGTATCTACATAATTAGCCTAAAATAAAGTCAAAAATGATGCAGTTTGTAGTTTGACCTACAGTAACATCTGAAATAGCAAATAAGAGTATGTTGTAAGTCAGAATACACTAAATATCCATCAAAAGGCTGAAAACGTACATACATAAGCTTTAATAATGAACTAGACGTAACTAAAAAAAATTCATAAATTACTGAAGCATGCATACACAAACTAACCAAAACAGTTGACCCTCCGCACACTTACTTTAATCCAGTTTTAGGTGAAATACGTGACCCTGGAGACCACAAAACTAAAAATAAATAAGCTTTCTATTGATGTATGATTTATGTAGGACAATATTTGGATGAGAAATGTTTGAAAATCACTTTATATCACACCCGGACAGGCTTCAATGATAAATTTATGCTTAATACAATACTATTATGCACACTATAAAAAATGTGGGGTTGTTAAAATGCAATTTTGGGTGAAATCTTTGACCCTGCAGACCACAAAACCAGCTATAAGTGTCAGTAGTTGGAACTTGATGTAACAGTCATGTGAAAACTTTCCATTGATTATATATATGGTGTACATAGAACAATATGTGGATGAGAAATCTGTAATCTCTGGGTCCAATAAAAGACAATCTCCTCAGACCTCACGTTCACTTTATAACACATCCAGACAGGCTTTAGTGGTGAAATTATACTTGATAAAATACTTTATAGGCTATATACACTATAAATAAAATGCTGGGTTGTTTTAATCCAATTTTGGGTGAAATATGTGACCTTGGAGTCCACAAAACTAAGAATTAATAAGCTTTTCATTGATGTATGATTTATCAAGGATAATATTTGAGTGAGAAATGCCTGAAAATCTTTCCCAGAGATGGGTTGTGGTTGGAAGGGCATCCGCTATGCAAAAACTTGCTGGATAAGTTGGCGGTTCATTCCGCTGTGGAGTTGTTTTAATCCAATTTTAAGCAAAATATGTGACCCTGGAGACCCAAAAGCTGGGTTACACATGGACACTTACTTTAATCCAGTTTTAGGTGAAATACGTGACCCTGGAAACCACTAAACTTAGAATAAATAAGCTTTCTATTGATGTATGATTTATATAGGACAATAATTGGATGAGAAATGTCTGAAAATCTTTCCTAGAGTTGGGTTGTGGCTGGAAGGGCATCCGCTGCGAAAAAACTTGTTTGATAAGTTGGCGGTTCATTCCACTGCGGCGACTCTGGATTAATAAAGGGACTAAGCTGAGAAGAAAATTAATGAATGAAAGTCTGAAGATCTGTAATCTGGGGCTTTAAAAAAGACTAAGACAATCTCCTCAGACCTCCGGCTTACATCATAACACCTGGACAGGCTTTAATGATAAAATTGTACTTGTTAATTTACTTACAGCAGGCTGTGTGCAGTGCACTATGCAAATATTTGGAGTTGTTTTAATCCAATTTTGAAGAAAATATGTGACCCTGGAGACCCAAAAGCTGGGTTATGCATGGACTATAAATTGAATTCCAAAAACCAACACATTGCTTGGCTTTGTCCATATATTTTACAGCATTTATGTAATGTTAACTAACAGTTACACCCCATTCACACGGGGAGTCAGCATCAGCGCTTCCCATTCACTTTGAATGGGTGATGACAGGCGTTGCCGAACTGCTCTGTGGATCCGTCGGCACTGCTTCAGAGGCGGTGCTCGCTGCAGAAGTTGGGACTAGTTCAACTTTTCAAGCATCAGCCAATCAGATTGCTGTATGCAAATACACCAGCCAGACAGTGGCCTATTGCTGACGGAATTTCATTGGCTGATGCTGCAATGACGATTGCCGCAACCCCAACTTCAGACACGCCTTCAGTCA